GCATATGGGAGCACAAGAATCAGTGCCTTTGGTTAAAGGTGCTGCTGACCACAGGCATTGGTTCAAACCTACCCCAGAAAGAGGGAACAAAAGAGCTTTCCTAATGCAGTGCTGTACATATATATAGTCTGGACAGCCCCAGCCAGGCAGATTCCCAGCTAATCTTTGTCTTTCCAGAATTGCCCACTGCCCCAAAGGCTCCACAGAGACAAACCAGCAACAGTGACATGAAGCCACCTTAGCAAGTCCCTCCAGGAAAGAAGGATGGCTATTCACCTTGCAGCCAAGCTGGGCTACAAGCAACTAGTCTGAGGGCAAGAGGCCATGTCTGCAATGCCCCAGGGCTCATGTCCAGTTTTTCTGGCACAAAGGAGCTGGAGGAAGACAGATACTGACCTCTGGCAGGAGGTATTTCCGCAGCAGGTTGACCACGATGGCAGTGGGAGGCACGGGCTCATTGGGATCACAGCATAGCTCTGTGCCAGCCAGACGAAAGTCTAAGTTGAGACGCTCTAGGCCATTGAGGATAAAAAGCATCCTGAGGTTGGAAGCGCCCAGCATTGGCACCACATCCCGGAGGTGCTGGTACTTCTTGATGATTAGACGTCGCAGGGAGATGGGACTGTGGCTCTGGGACAGATCCTCACAGGAGAAGGGGATGACCAGTTCAAAGTGGGGAAGGCGTCCATGGCACCAGTCCACCACCATCTTCTTGATGAGAGTGCTCTTCCCCGTGCCCACAGTACCAAACAGCACCACTGTCTTCACCTGCCGCCCGCAGGCATCCACGTCAAAGAGGTTCTGGAGGCTGATTACACGGCTGCAGGGTTGCTGGAGCTGGTGCTGGATGGTCAGGTCAGGTGAAGGCTTCAAAATCTCCTCCAGGGAGCTCTCCCGGATCACTGGGTCTACGTGGACTGCATCTAGCGAGAAGGAAGGGCCAAACTGCCTCTCCTCATTTGGCTGGTGGCTGAACCATGCAGACAAACTCTTCTGGTGCTTCTTGATGGCCTCTAGGAAGAGGAAGGGCCTTGGTGAGACAAGGGCTTCCCAGGGGCAGGGAAATGGGGAAGTTGCTTGCCCCAAGCCGCCTCAGTGAACTAGCTGCAGAAAGAAGGGCAGAACCCAGCAGTCCCAGCCCTTGTTGCTCATGCTTATGACCACACTGCTGAGAGCAACATCTTTCCCCAACCTGCTGTGTAAGACATTCCATCCTCTTTAGGGCATTGTTGCAAATTTACCAGAAGAGGCCACGTTCCTCTGTGCACCTGGGACATGGCGGAGGGAGCTGGGCTGAGCAGGGGGTTCCTGGGACCCTCCCTGGCGGTGAACACAACTCCTGCAAGAAGAGGGAGAGTACTGTGAAGACGGCAGGGGTGGCAGCTCCATGCCTTGCCCAAACGTGGGGTGGGCAGCCTGCAGGTCAAGTGTGAGCACCATGGGAGGCACTGAACACTGCCAGCTTACCATACCGTCAAGTTCTACCCTGTGCTTCTCTTCTTCCTTCCCTTACACCAAGGGATAGTGCAGGGCTGCTGCATGACACGAAGAAGCAGCTCAGCAAGCTGTGCACTATGCCTTCCCAAGCGCAGTGCAGGAATGACACTACAGCAAGGCAGAGAATTTGGACTGAATTCAGAAGAGTTGAGCCTGGGTTATTTTCCAGATAGAAACAAAGCAGCAACTTTGACCAATGGGCTCGAAGCAGCTAGCCCCACCACCATGCCCCCAATTATCATAGAGGCCCAGTGGGCTCAGGTCAGGCCCCAGCTGTGTCGCACCGTACCTGGGGTGGGACGTGTGATCTGCACAGAGAGTCTTCCTGAGGAAGGAGCTGCTGGCAGTGCCTGGACAGAAGAAGTGCACACACCATAAGGGACGGCCTTGTCTGACCCACCAGAGCTTACACTGCCCAGCTTATGGACTTAGCATCTTACTTGGGCAAGCCAGAGACCATAAAGACATAGCCAACAGGGAGGGGAGAGATTTCCAGCAAGGAAAAGACTTCAGGAGGATGAGGCCAGATTCGGGGTCCCAGTCCCACAGCCACAGAGCAGGGCTCACCTGGCACCGATGCAGCAGTCAGGTATGCTCGCCTGGCCTCCCTCCGCTCTGTCAGGGATCCACGCAGCCGTGTCCAGCTGCTCCAGGGCAGGCGGCTCTGGCACTGCAAGGCCCAGGACATCTTCTGGCTGAAACAGAGGAGCATGCCATAAGCCACAGCAGGAGCCAGCCGGCTCTCTCCCCAGCCCAGCTCTGCAGCCCCAAGCCCTGAGAATCCAGGAGCTGGGCTTTAGAGAAAGGACACAGTGGTGAGGAGACAAGAAAAAGCGAAAAATAAAGGTGATTCTTTCCTAAGTAGCTGCAAGCATTCTGGATTCCTAATCCCAACAAGGCTCCTAGTGTACCCCCACTCCCCCAGGCTGCTCCAGCTACTGAGCGGTGCTGCCTCTCTGCAGCCTCCAGCAGTCCTTGCCATGTCCTTGGCAGCCATCTGAGCCACTTGCTGGGCCTGACAGGACGAGGCAGCTGCCAGTAGGCAGAGATGCTGAGCAGAGCCTCCTCCCATTTAAAGCAGCCAGGGAGGCTGGCAGCCGACGAGGTAACGAGCACTGGCTGTCTACAGGATGCCAAGGCACAGCTGGCTCCTTCCCTTGGGGCTGCACAAAGCTTGGCACCAGGTGAAAATTCCCAGGCAAAATGTCTGTCTCCAGCTGTGGCAGAAGGGGCTCTGCAGTTGCCTGGTGCAACCAGGGTTGCCCAGGAGCCAGCAGCAAGCAGTGCAGGGTTAAGAGCCCTCCTCCCTGGGGATGGGGTGCTGCAACACCCGGCCTGACCTGTGCAGTCAGGTCCTGCAGAACAGGCTGTGCCTGTGCTGACTCAGTGCCCCAACCACAGCTCAGCAGGGTGATGCTCCAGGGGCGCAGGCTGCTTTCAACACCTTCAACATCCTGAGAAACTGAAAAATGGGATTAAAAAAAGGAGACAGAGACAAAAACTGCCTGCATTTGCTCCTGCCCCACCACCAGGAGAAGACAAGCACGTACCTCCCGCATCCTGGGCTTTATGCAGTCCCTTCTCCTGTGTTCCAGGAGAGGCAACCGAGGAACAGAGAAGGGCCCGGTGGAGCTAATCGAGAAGGCGGGTGCCGTTATCGGTGCCTTTTCAGCAAGCAAACCCTAGTGTACGGCAGGCCTGGACCCCAGGCCTTTCGGAAGCGTGCTTTGCCACCCAGGGCACAGCAGGGAGCAGAAGGCCCCAGGACACCTGCCTGCTGCATCCCCCCCTCAGGGACCCCTGCATGCCAGTGCTCCCATGCTCCAGTTATGGCCAGCCCTCCTGCTGTCCACCGGGACTTGGGGGCCAGCGGATATGGGTGCCTCGAGCCCAGGGCATGGCAAGAGGTTGCAGCCAAGTGCCAGGCATTATTTCCAGCAGGATTCCTCGCCAGAAGCCCCGGGTGGCCAGTTCCCTTGCCACCTCTGCTCCCCCAGGTGCCGTGCTGAGGCAGTGGGGTACCGAGCCTGCCGGATGCCTGGGTAAGGGAGCCCAGGGTCTTTTACCTCACTGCTGCCGTTTCTGTCTCCGGGAAGAAGCTCCTCGCTCCGGCGCCTGTTTCGCAGCTGCAACTTCCTGCCACGGCGTCCCGCCCCGTGCCACGGCCGTGCTGGCTCGGTGCCGGAGCGGGGTGGGGAGAGCAGAGAGCTGCGGGCACCAGCACATCCCTGCATCTGGCACAGGCCCTGGCAAGGAAAAAGCGCTGCTGGCCTGTCCCTGCTCCAGAATTGGAGCCTGCAGAGTCCAGACCACCCTGGCTGGGCACATGCAGCACCTAGCACCAAGGTGGGTGTATAGAAACTAAAACAGTCCCTGTGGGCAAAGAGCCCAAGGAAGCTGTGCTGAGAGCAGCACATACCTATTTATACAAATACACATATATGCACACATACCTTTTGCTGTTTGCAGATCTGCTCCTGCACCTTGCTGAGGAAATGCTGGGTGCAGAGGTGAAGACCTTGGCACATGAAGTGTTCAGCTGCAATGATGTCGGCATACAGGCATCCTCCTGGGCTCAGGCTGCCTCTCCAGACTTGCCCTCCCCATGCCACGTCCCGACATAGGCGCATGGGCCCAGCACAGCCAGGCGCACGTGTATATGTACTTGTACATGTGCACACACTCACACCCTCCAGCTGCTCAGTGATAGGAGACATCCAGGCACTACGGTATAAATATAAGTTTTATTGATGTGTGAAACCCAACAAGTACAGCTGGCATCTCAGAAACACCAAAATCAACCACAAGACATCTGCCTGCCCCACGACTCCTACGGCACAACCTGCCGGCAAGCCAGGACCACTTACCTGCACACGGCACAGCCTGATAAGCAGGACACCCCTGGGACACCTCCACCCAGCCTGACACGTATGCCCTATGCTGTACAAACTACTCTGCACGTATGGATAGAGTGGAGGCTGGAAACCCAATGCCCCAGCACGGCTCCAAGGTGGCTGAGAGCTACCAGGAGTTCCCACCATAGAGGGACGGGATAAATGGCATCCACACAAGGTGAGAACGAAACATTGTTTTATTGCCTGATTGGAGAGCGGGGTGAAACCCTGCTAGAAGCCCCATCCCCTCACTGCGCTGGCCCAGCCTCTTGCTCAGACAACCCCAAGCACCTGCAGCATGATAATGTGTTTGCTCTTCTTGTGCGTGTGACCAAGGAGGCCTGGCCATGCACGGAGGTGAGAGGCTGTGTTCCTGCTTGCAAGCCTGTGCGCCCATGCCTGCTTGCAGCACATGTGTAGCAGTGCCAGTTACGTCCATTTCTTTAGGCTGAGAAGTCAGAACAGTTTTCAGCAGGGTGAGGTTCATGGGCAGTTCTCGCAGCACGCAAGGAAGCAGGATGCTCCTTGAGTGCCAGAGGCTCAGGCTGAACCACATCCTCATCCATTAAAGTGCATTGCAGGGGAGGGAGGGGGCAGAGAAGGGTAGAGGAAGAATCCTGATCTCCTCTATCACACTCTCCTCCTGGTTATCCAGACACACTCCCTGGTGGCACCCACACGCCCTTGCTCTGAAAAAGTGTATCCTTGACATGCTCGTGAGCCCAGTGTGAGGATAGGGAACTGAGCTCAGATGTGCTTAAGACAAGGCAACACCAAGCCTAGTCACATCCCACAAAACAGGCTAATGCCAAGGGTATCGCAGCACTATAGCTATCTCATTCCAGAAAGATGGTCCTCAAGAGACCCCCCGCCCCCCCTCAGTGCAAGTGTGCTTCAACCCTTTGCATACTTCTGTGCATTCCTCCATCTACGGGATTGTCTTCGCTGTGAGGGGACGGCCAACGGAGAGCCCCTTCCCAGCACCAGTGCGGCCTGCAAGCCAGCAGGAGCCCAGGCTCATCACTGTTAGGGAGGCTCATCCCCTTCCCCTGGGCACTTCGGGCCTCTCCTGCACACCATACATGTCTGTGGGGATTTTTTTTGCTCCATGACCCCAGTCATCCACCTTCAGGACACAGCTGTCCTCTGGCTGCATGCTTGCCCTGGGCCCCTACCCCACACAGGTGCATACCTGGTCCGCAGGGCTTGGCCACTGTGCCAGCCAGTCCTGGAGATCCTGCACAGCAGCCACATGGGCAGTCATTTGCCCCTAGTGGAGAGCTCAGATCCAGTTGCACATGCCCCCCGGGTGATCTTTCTCTGGCCACCCTCAGCACTGTCCCATGGAGTTTTCCCTGGGAGCTGGGAAAGCTGGCAAGTAGTGCATGCTGGCAGCCCTGCTCTGCTGCATGCACTACACACAGCTAGCCCCTCTAGTCCTGGTTCCTCCACTTCCCTGGAGGTAGCACGTGCTGGATACGGATAGCAGGAGAGGGATGCCCGGAGCAGGACCCACTGTCAGCCTCCTTCCATAAGAGCCCCCACTGCCGGGGACAGGACAGGTGGCAGGAGCTGTGCAGGACCGAGCCATCAGCACCTCATGCTGACCTGGTGTCCAGCCAGGAGGAAATCATCAGCCCAGCACTGCAGACCTCACGCTGGGCAAGGCTTAACTCGCTGCCCACCTGGAGTAGGATAAAAGAATGGGCACTTGCCTCACAGCCCCACAGATGGACAGATGGAGATGGGCAACAGCCCACATCTCTACTGCCCCCCTCATCACCTGTTCCTCTGCACGTCTGATGGCAGAGTAGACCTGGAAGTGGCTTCCCCTTGGCCTGGCCCTGCCCCAAGGTAGCAGCTGTGTGCAGCACCCGGCCCTGGAGATGGCCACCCTTGAAATGATGTGACTGCACAACAGAGCAGGGCAGCGAAGGAAGATCCAGGAATGTACAGGCATCTGGGGAGGCATAGTAGAAAGTCAGTCAAGAGCCCCTGGGGAATATCCCTGTGCTCAGCGCAGGGAGGGCACCCGGGCATGTCCCACACTGGGACCTCCATGCAAGAGTGCCCCATGGACCTGGGTTCTTCACAGCAATTCAGTGCAGGCAGAGGAAAACCCAACTTTGCTGATGGTCCAGCATCAACACAACCACCTGTCTCCATGTATCTCCCATCGGATAGACTGCAACTGAGCAGAACGGTCCCAACGGCAGCCAGGAAGAGTAAAGAAGAGCCTCAAGAAAAGTGTTGTTCTCCATGAAGAAGTGAAATCTACTCTTCTTCCTGGTCCTTGTTCTGAAGTCCTCCCCTTCTCCAAGGGAGCTGGCTCTCACGTCTCACAGGCAACACCTGAGGCAGTGCCAGAGCAGCGCAGAGCTGCCTTTCCCAGTCCGGATGCTGCACAGAGCTGTGTTTCCAGGTCTGCAGTGACTCTATGCAGTCCCTTGCCCTCTCCATGCTTCTGGTGTTGCAACTTGTGCTGGAGAACCAGCAAGGTGCTAAAACGCCTTACCTCAGTAAGGGGCAGAGGCAACTTTGGGGGGGCCACCAGAGATGCTTGCCAAAGGGACTTCTTGCAGGCAGGGCAAAGCCTGTGCTGAGCAAGGGGCATCTTCCCAGTGCTGTTGGGAGAGCTGCGGTTGTGCAGGGAGGAGTGAGGTGATGCAGGGCATGAGGCCAGCCCCAAGGGCTTGGGGATAGTTCTGCTCCTGCAGGAGAGATAGGGGCATTGCTAGCAGCTCATCACTGCTAGGGCATGGGACCTCTGAGCTCTCCACTGCCTGCTGGCTCCCATTCCCACACACTGGGAACCAGTGCATTTTAAAAAAAAAAAAAAAAAAGAGAGAGAGAGAGAGAGAGAGAGAGAGAAAATAAACAAGAGGGTGAATTTCTGCAGGTAGAGAAAGAAAGGGAATGCTGCAGTTTCTGCGTCCGAAGGGGCAGGAAACAGCAAAAGCCTTGTGCAATGCGACCTGTTGCTCCTCAGGGCTATCCTCGACCCTGGCACACGTGCTGCTATCCAGGGGCTCGCAGGTGGGCAGCTGTGAACTGCAGAGTCGTGCTTCGCAGGGGTTTCCTCCGGCTTTGGCCCCAAGTGCCCCCTTGCCTCTCCACCTCGCCCACGGCCTGGCTTTGCAGAGCCATTCCTCCCCTGGACTGTCCCTGCTGTCCTGAGGGGCTTGGTGGAGAGGGGAGGTGCTGGGCAGAGGTGACCAGAGGGGATCCAAGCTCCACAGGGTCTGTCAGTCCCAGGGGAGAGGGTGGCACATGCCAGGGCTGTACAAAACATGTGCGATGATGAGTGTGTGGAAAGGTTAAAACAGTTCCGAGATCTCAAAACCCTTCTCGACTGAGCCAGGCCTGGCTGGCACCTGCCAACACCTCCACCACCGGACCATGACCTGCCAGGAGTGCTGTGTCCGTCTGCAGATCGTCTCTCACAGCCGGCCAGGCCCGGGTACATCTTCGGGGCCCAGCAGCCCCTTTATCTCTCTGACTTGACTTTGTACCTGAGGACCAGGTAAGCCAGAAGCCGCAGGATGATGAAGAAGATGCCCAGGATGAGGAAGTCCAGGTAGAGCTTGGCCTCCTCCACATCCAGCTCCTGCAGGATCTTGATGGGTTTTTGGAAAGGGCAGAAGTCCTCGAGACACTCCAGGTCCTCACGCTCCATGGCGTAGATGGTGAGAATGACGCCCTCAAAGCCATACCTAGGGAGGAACGCACCACATGAGTTATCACGTGCCACCTCAATACCAAGCTGGACAGATCAGGATGCCCATCTCCTTCCCAGGCCCCACAGGAGCTGCTGGCCAGAGTGGAGGGTCCCACCTGACATAGGAGACGTAGGAGCTCCACTGCAGGTAGGTGGGGATGGTCTTGAAGCTGACAAAGAAGCCCGAGAAGAGCAGCACGGGGATGGCAGTGACGGGTCCCACGAAGGTGGCCACCTGGGGAATGGAGACCAGTGGGAGTCATGTCACCACAGAGAGGTGCACACAAGCGTGGCCACATGCAGCATTCACATGCCAGCCGTTCCTCACATTCCTCCTTGTTGTGAGACACCCAGCAATATCTCTGCCTCCACACAATTGTCCTCCCAGTCCCAGCAAAGCCAGGGTCTCATCCAAACCTGCAGGGAAGTGGAAGCTGCTCCAATGAGAAGCCCAAGGGACTGGGCCACCAGGGCTGTGGCAGTGGCCAGAGCAGAGAAGAGGAGGAAGCGCGTGGCCTCGGGAGGCTGGCCTGTCATCCAGTACACGATGCTACAGTATGCGATGGGGCAGATCACCTGGAGAGGGGTGGGGAAACAGGCAGCTCAAGGGCCCATGCCCACACTCACCACCATCCCACCAGACTCTCTCTGGGTACGGAAGCCCTCAGGGATGCTCGAGTCCAACAAAAACTCACCTGGAAAGGCACATCCGCCATGGTCTTGGCCAAGTAATAGGCCTTCAGGCTGTACCAGTAATTCAGGTGCTCTCTCAGGAACACAGACATCTCCTGGGGGACTGCAGGGAGAAGGCCAGGAGCAGTTAGCAGCCCACAGTTCCCTGGCTCACACTGCTCTAGCCTTCACCTCCCTGTGCTCCAGTATCTGGTGGTCCCCCAGGCCCAGGGCATCAAGAGACCAAAGTGCTTGACCAGCAAAAAAAAAAAAAATACACCAACAAACATGAGAACTTTCTGCATGGAAAAGTCAGCCTGGCTGGGGTGTTTTAGTTAAGCTTTTCAGGGGAGTGAAAGAGAAATGAAATGGTCAAACAAACTACTTCCCAGACAAATTGTCAGCAAAATAAGTAAATAAATAAACAAACACAGCCATTCTATTTTGAGCCAGCAAGTGCACTATAGCCAGCTGTTAAGCAAAAGATGATACCTTCACAACTGGAATATATTTCCAGTGATCCAATCTGGAAATTTCCCTGTTTTCTATTTGATTATTTCCCCTCTCTTCTCCCATGTCCCCGCTTTTGTCCCAATTTGTCTAACTCCTCACTTTCCTGCAGCCATACTCAACCATGGAGCTTGACCACCTCCCTCTGCCCCAAGGGGTGGACTGTGATGCCAGGGGCAGCTAATTGCCTTTGAGTCAGAGAGGTCCTTACAGGTGAGGATGGTGGGCATCAGTGCAGCAAACATGAGGAAGAGCATGGAGAAGAAGAGAAACCCAGTGTTGTTGAAGACTTTGCCAGCATCGTTGCCGATGTGCAGGTAGAGCAGCCCTATGAGCACCCCAATGCAGATGTGGGACATGAACCGCAGGTGTGTCAGCACCTGCAGGCAGAGGGAGCACAGGACTCAGAACCAAGCATCACAGGGCTCAAAAGGAGGACTGCTGCTCCGACATGAGCCCCACTCTCTCCACTGTCCACGCCCCCATCTCTGCCTGCTCCTCAAACCCTGGCTCCCGTGCCCCAAGCATCCCCTCTCCCTTGGCCACTGATCCTCCCCGGCCCTCACCGTGTCCCGCAGGATGCAGATAAACGTTCTCTTGAAGAGGATGCAGAACTGGGTTGTGGTGCTGGTGGCAAATGTGTGGCTCTCGATGTGGTCCACGTCCTGAAAGACCACAGGCAAGTCAATGGTATGGGTCAGGCTCACAACATAGGCTCTCAAATGTTCCTTGTTTCCAGGATATCCCTCAGGAGCACATCTGGTAAGGGCAGGCTCTGGGAGATGCCAGCACAGAGCCACAGGTCAATGCTGGTGGATACTGGCTGAACATCTTGCTTCCTCCACACCTGATGGGCCCCAGCACCCCAGGACACCTCTGCACTATGGGACAGGAGGCACCAGTATGTCCCCGTCTGGGTACCCTGGAATCTCCCACTCCCAAGACCACAGGAGACTCCTCTTCTCCCCGCTCACCCCCACACAGTGTGCTGGGCATGACGAGTCTGCCTTGTCAGGGCTGCTCTTCTTCTCAGCCATGGTGCACATGCCATTCTGGACGGCGCGGAACAAGACGGGGTTAAGATCTCCGTACTCTCCTGAGGCCACCTCAATAACTGCAGAGGAGGACAGGATCCCTGAGACATGCAGACCTTGTCTCTCAGCCTCACTCCCTGCCAACCCCAGTACACTTTGGGTAGCCCGTAGGGCTGTATTTTGTGTTCAAATCTTGCCACCTCCTGCTCCCAACATAGTCCCAGCCAGGGCAAATGCACTCACTGAAGTCAGCAGGGTTGTGGTACGTGGGGCAGTAGAGGCCAAGACCCTTCAGGTAGGGGATGAGGTTGGTCACGACACCTTTGAAGATGCACTGACCCTGGCTCAGGATGTACAGCTGCAAGAGAGCAGTGGAACATGACAGACACGCCCCGCACCCCGCAGAAAGAGAACCCTGCTCCCCAGGCCAGAGCAAACCTTGTCAAACATCTCAAACAGCTTGGCACTGGGCTGATGGATTGTGCAGATGATGGTCCGTCCGCCTTGAGCCAGCGACCGCATCAGGGAAACTACCTGGAAGCAGGAGGCACTGTCCAGACCACTGCAGGACGGGGCAGAGGAGAAAGAGGCAGCAAGGAGAAAAAGGGAGAGATGAGAGGGTGAGAAGTATATCCTGGAAATGCCCTCAGCTGCCTCCCATTTGCTTCCCTTGCTAAATCAGCACTAGGCAGAGCAGCTGTCTCCCCTGGGCTGGTGGGCAGAGCCCCTTGCAGCCTCACCTGGTGGGCTCATCAAAGAACATGACCGGAGGGTTGTTCACCAGCTCCAGGGCGATGGCCAGGCGCTTGCGTTGGCCCCCAGACAGCGAGATGGTGCGGGTGTAGGCACACTCTAGCAGCCCAAGAGCTGTCAGGATCTCGTTGACCTGCAAGACAGCCTTGTTCACTGGGGACTCACCCCTCCACAGCCTCTCCCCAGCCCTCTCATCATTGGGGACCCTTTGGGTCTCACCCACTGCCCCACAGAGCCCAGTTCTGGAAAGAGATGAGGGCTCTGGACCCATCTTTCCTCTGCCACATAGGAGGACTGTGGACTTACCAGCTCCTTCTTCACCTCCTGCTTCTCGCTCAGCTTCAAATTAGCAGAGACCTGTGTGGAGAGGATGGGCAGGGAGACATGCCTGTGACATGGAGGGGACAGAGATGACTGTACTATGGCCCCATCCCATATAAAAGGCTCAGGGTTGATGGTCAGGGGTGGGAGAGCAGGAAAGACCTGTTATAGGGCTTGGATCCCGCTTCCCAAAACCCCTGGAAATGGCTGCTATCAGTGTGGGCCCAGTGCCTAGTGGACAACGTCCTGGGTGTCACACACTGAGCCCATGGGGCTGCCCATCTCCCAGGCTGCTCACCATCATTGCCTCCAGCACAGTGAGGTGTGGCAGGAGCATGTCATCCTGCATGATGTAGCAGGACATCTTGCGAAAGGTGCGCAGGTCCCGTGGCCGGCCGTTCACCAGGATCTGGCCCTTCATGCCGGTCTCCCTGCAGGAAGAAGGCGCGTGGAGATGTGTCTCAGGGCACCCAGCCCTGTAAACCCAGACCCGCTGGCCACAGGGCCCATCTCACCTGTATCCAGCCAGGATGTTCATGAGGGTGGACTTCCCAGCACCTGAGGGCCCCATGATGCCAATGAGCTCCCGCTGACAGAACTTCCCTGACAGGCATTTCAGGAGAGTCTTGTACCCTGTAGGCAGAGAGCAGCGCAGGGTGGGCTCCTGGGTGGCACAAATGTCTGGATGTTGAGGGAGCAGCAGTGCCTGGGGAGCCACGGGCCCTCCTGGAGCCCAGAGCTGTCTCCATCCCCATAGTGGCTGTCATGTTCAGGTGGCCATACTCTCCCTGCTTGCTGCTCGTGACCGACACCACCGATTCCCAGCACAAGAGGCATGCCCTCAGTCATGGTGAGGACCACAGGGACCAGCAGGATGGCACGAAGCCCTCTGGGGCCATGAGCAGGCTGTCGCCATGATAGTAAGGCATGCCATCACCTCCCCAGTCCCTGGGCCAGTGGGGCATGGGACAGCCTGTGTCCCCAAGTCTGAGAGGTGCCTGGCCAGTGCCTTCATTGGCACTTGTGCTCTGACATCCAGCAGCAGCCACTGCTAATCAGACCTAGAATTATCTCTGCTTTAAATGCAGCTGATTAGCATTTCCTGGCAGCAGAAACATGATGTGCTGGCCTTGGGGAACAGGCACAGCCTGGGGCTCTCAGGAACTGCCCCCAAGATACAGCCCCAGCAGGGCAGCCACAGGATGCAGGGTGCCAGGGCCAAACCAAGCCATGGACTGGGTCTAGGCATTGCCCTGCCGTAAACGCGTCCACCCCATGCCCCGGGGTGGCAGCTGGCATTGGGAGAGGACAACACATCCATGCACTGCCTGGAGGACAGACGCTGCGAGGCCACAATGTCACCCTGTCGGGACAGCCCTTCTGCCCCTCCTGCCCCAGGATGGGTGTCTGGCACTACAAGCTTCTATTTCCCAGGCAGGAAGGCTCTCTGGGTAGGAGACCACCCGGCATGCCCAGGCACTCTGCAAGCCCCCTGGGCTTCCTGGTCTGATGAGAGCTGGGGGGAAGGCAGCAGGGGTGGTGGCTGAGCCCTGTGGCAGTGGGCAGGGGGCTGTGCATGTTGCACCCCAGCACAGCAGCGGTGCGAGCAGACCGAGCAGCCCCCTCTCTGGCGCGCGCCGGCACCACGCATGCCGCTCACGTCGGCGCCACTGCAGCTTGCGGAGCGGTTACTCGCGTTCATTGACTGCCAGTAACCTCTCGCGTCAGCAGTGCGCGGACAGCCCAGCCAGCTCCAGGAGCCAAAAGCCCTGAACGGGCTCCTCCACTCACACTGGGTGCTGAGGAGAGGGGCGTCCTACCCACAACATCCCTGATTCCACAGCTCCCCTCCAGCTCTGGCTGCCTGAGCCTTTCCCCTGCAGGGCAGCGGCCTTAACTGCCAGGTTCCAGCACTCCTGGATGCTGCAGAAAGGCACAAGCTGCCCTGTGTGTCTGCCACACACAGCCAGACCTCTTCTAGGGCCCTTGGGGCTGGTGCTGCCATTCTGCTGTGCCTCAATTTCCCCAGAACAGCTGGGAAAAGGCAAGAGGCTCTGACAATGCCTGGCTGGCAGGACACCCCACGGGAAGCCCTGAGCCCTCCAGGCTGTCCGCTGTAGCCTCCACACCAGGGCCATACTCCTCCCGGCCTTCCTTCATGCTCCCCCTCTGCCTCACAGGGCTGCCTGATTGGCATCCCATTAGCCAAGAGAGCTAATTAAAGCAGCCTGCCACCCACCAGCTGCCATCTGCCTCCCCTCCCCGAGCTCTCGTCCGGAGCCATGCACAGGAAAGGGAACCGAGGCCCCGGCTGCTTGGGGAGCCACTGAAGAGGAAATCCTCTGCAAAGCACACGTAGTCTCCCTGCCGGGCTCTGTGCCAGGGCACCCCTCGGAGTCACATCGCACCCCAAGCAGCAGCGCTGGGCAGACACATCCACCCTGGCTCTCCCTGAACTGGGAAAGCTGCCCTGCCTCCCTGCTAGCTGCCCTGGCCGGCTGCCTGCTCGGGCTGTGCTCCGCATTCCTCTGGTGGGATGCAGCAGAGATGTGCAGCCCCGCAGACTGGCCATACTGTCCTAGGGCACCAAGGTGGTCAGAGGAGGGATGGATGCAGCACAGAGATGCAGGGGACCCAGGTGGGATGAGGGGTGCAGGGGAGCAACTCCTACCTCGCTTTCTCCACCAGGAGCCTTCGCGCACGGAGTAGGAGAGGTCGATGAACTCAATGTTGACAGCTGAGCGCTTGGGAAGGTGGGAAAACCTCTGGGCCTCCGTGATGTGGTTCTCCACCTTCTTCAGATGGGTGGTGAGGAGAGGGGCATCCGGGGGGCTGGCATGGCACACTGTGTCCTCCAGCGCAATGGAGACGCATGTGGGATCCATGCCCTTCTCTGCCATGGTGCTGCTCTGTGGAAAACATGGAAACAGATTCACAGAGACCCTTCTCTCAGGGATGGGGACTGCAGGGATAGGGGCTGATACACAGCAAGTTCTCTCATCCTCATCCCTGCTGGCTTCAGACCTTTCACCTCCTTGTGAAACATCACCCAGTTGTGGTCCAGCACCCACAGCTGGATGGAGGGATGGATGTGGCCTCACTCCCCCAGCCCTCCTGCAGCCAAGCCTCACAAAGAGGCTCATGTCGAGGAGCAGCTCATCAGCCCCATGGTCAGTCACTCATGTGGCTCTAGCAATGATGCTGGTGGGGTGATGATCAGGCCCCCTGCTGCCACACTCCCCAGAGCTGGCTGCACTGTGGTTAAGCTCTCCCCAGCCCCACTAGTCTCAAGGGTTTCTCTGCGATGCAAGGGCCGATGCTGAGCCAAGCAGGGTGGGAAGCACATTGCTCCCTGACTCACTGCGGCACCACAGCCTGGAGCACTGGGGGTCCCCACCATGCTAGCACCCAGAGCCTGAGCTATGCCCGAGCACGCTGGCCCTGCATCCATCTGGGGCGGGGGTCCTAATGCTTTGCTAACCTACATTTTGCTGAGGCGCAGGCTCCAGCGTGCTGCTTGCTGCAGCTGCAGCGCACACACCATCCCCTGAAACGGGAGGCTGGCCTCGCAAGGAGCTGCGCTGAGATCTTCCCGGCCCTCTCCCTGCTGCAGACAGATCCTTTTCAGGCCTGGAAGCAAGCCAGCCCCAGCCCTGGGGAGGAAGGGGTGGGAATGCAGATCCCCCTCCCCAGCAGCTGCAGGGCTTGGGGACCCCCTTGTGACAAGCACTGAGCTGTGGCACCAGTCCCAGGGCAGGGCGGGGGGCTGTGGGAGGCACAAAGCGCCCTCAGGCTCACCTTGACTCTTTCAGCTAGGCTTTACAAGGACTGCTAAATCCTCCAAGCCGCTCTCCCTGGCTTAACCCACCCCCAAGGCAAGGGCTGGGCAAGGCAGCTTTACCAAGGATGTTCTTCCTTGATCCCAGCTCCTTGCTGGCCCCCCTCCACCCTCACCAGCCCAAATGCTGTAGCCTTGCTCAGCCCCCTCATTCCCACTCTTCTCCCCCATCCTCCCTGGCAGCATCACCTCCCATGCCCAAATCCACAGAAGGTTTCTCCAGGGAAAAGGGGAGCCGGGCTGGGCAGGCTGGTTCTCACCTTGCGGGACGCAGACACAATGGCTCGGCTCCTCTCTTGTCTGGCAGCGGCCGTGCCTCGATGCAGCTCCTGCCGCAAGCCTTGCTGCTGCTCCTGCTGCCTTCAGTCCCAGATATTCAGCAGTGCCTGGGTGCAACGCCCTCAGCCTCTCCTCTGCAGACAAAGAGGCGATGCCCGCCTCAGATGCTCAGGGACAGCGTTAGATGCCCTGGCCAAGCACACACCAGGCATGGAGCAGCGGAGCCAGAAGTCAGCCAGGTCACCGCCAGCAGCCCCTCCTCAGCCCTAGCTCGTGGCACGGCTGCAGCAGCCCCCTGGCTGGGCTCTGCCCCTGCTAATCCCCGGCTGGGGTCTCCTCCCCATTCCTCTGCAGAGCGGAGAAGGGCTGGGGCGGCAGGGAGGGGGCTCTCCGTGCCCCTCGGGCCCAGCAGGGTCTAGCAGCCCCCCGGGGGTGGCTGGGCAGCGGTGGCCACGCGCTGGCCCCTCTCCGCCAGGTTTATCCCGCAGCTGAATGTCAGCCCGGCAGGCTGGGCTCTCCAGGCAGGCTCTACTGCCAGGCAGCGCAAAAGCCTCTTAAAGGGACCAGCCCTATTTCCTCCCTGCGGTCGTCTGCTCTTGCGAATCCTGTGCATCTCCAACCCAGGGGCCTGGCGCTCACCACCTCCAGCACATCCAGCCCCCCCTGCAGCCCCAGTGCACCACAGCACAGCTCCCCTGATGAGGCACAGAGCAGGTGATAACAGGCTCCTGGGATGGGACCGCAGAGCAAAGCTGAGTGTGGGCAACACAGACCAGGTGTGGGAGTTGAGAGGGCACCAAGTGTCAGGGCTGCACCTGTCCCACCCTGCACGGCTTCACTCGCAACACGCTCCATCCACAGCCCATCAGCACAGACCTGCTGGCCTTCCACACTCCCACCCTCAGCAGAGCTCGCCTGGCTTCATCCTCACTGTTACTCACACCTCTCACCCACCACAGCGCTTAAACATATGGAAATGAGTGGCACTAACGAGGGTATTAATTAGAAAACCATCTGTCAAGCTGAGGAGAGTCTTCCCCTGCCACAGCCAGGCTGGGGCTGGAATAGATCTCGGGGTAGCAATCCAGGCCCATGCAAGAGCAGAATGGAACCAGCAACTCGAAGAGTTGTCTGTGGGGCAGGGCAGCCTAAGGCCAGGTGCTGGAGGGCACAAGGAGAGGTTTGAAGGGTCTTGGCCACCTCAGGCTCCGCATGAGATCTTGAGCCTTTTCCTCATGGAGTAAAAGTTATGTGGGGCCTGTCCAGTTCACCCTGCTTTCACCATACTTGCTTCCCTCCCCAGGCGCTCACGGTTAGCAGGTCTCAGCCCAGATGCCCTCTGAACAGTGCAGAACAGCCCCTCGCCTTTGTGGCCAGGGTGCAAACAGGGCCTGGGAGTGACCTCCCTTGCCACTGAAGTCCCGCTGCTGCTCAGGGCTGGACCAGGACAGAGCCATCCCCTAGCTGGCTGTGCAGCCCCTGGCACACTGCAGCAACTCACCGTGAGTCCCTTCAAGGTGGAAACCGCACAGGGCTTCAGGTCTGGTGCCTGGGGAGCTCTGGCAGCCAGCACCAGAGGCACATTTGGCATTCACCTGGACCCCAGCTTGGACCTCTCCAGCATGGCCTTGGTGGTAGCTGAGTCCCCACTGTGCAGCAGTGTTATGGGACAAGACCAGTGGCAGAAGAAACCTCTCTCAGCTCTGCCACGCGTGCTCGCCTCCAGGAATGGAGCCAGGCATAGATTCTCTCCACATAACTGGAAATCCTGTGTGATTTCCTTTAAGCATATCTTAAATTAGCTGTGGTGCAGCCTGACTCCAATTGCACCGGCCACGCTGTTGCACAGACTCCTGCCCTGTTCCTGCTTCTCCGGGAGAATGAAAACGCTGCCTCTTTCAGCACTGCTTTGGAGGGAGCCAGGGCAGCTCCCCTGGGAGCACGAGACTAGCGTTGAGAGCTGGGTGCTGGACCCAGCCAGTGCCTGAGCCAGCCCAAGCATCACCCCAGAGAGCAGCCAAGGGCCCAAGAGGGAAAGGAGACAGACTGCAGGAAAGGTTGCTTCCTGAAAAAGAGACAGTGCAACATGGGGCAAGGGCAGAACCCGCACTGGCTGGAGACACTCCCCAGCACATCCAGAAAGACCTTGGGGCAGCAAGTCTCAAGGTAACACTTTATTCCTTAGCACAGTTTGCTGCAGACATCTGTTTGCCCTGGCTGGGTGACCCATTCTGCCATGCAGAGGTGGCAGCAAGGAGCACATGGCTGCACACCCCAGCTCTCACACTCTGGCTCAGCCATCCTGGCTGCCGCAGGAGCAGCTGAAGGTACAAGAAATACCCAGCAGGGAAAAGTCACAACCCACTGGGGGGATATGATTAATAAACCTGCAGCACATGGCCCACAGACACCCACTACCTCTCTCACAAATGGAGGCAGACACAGAGGGAAGCAGAGATACCAGCTCCATGGACCCAGATGAAGGAAGCAAATCCCCACCTCGATGAGCATCTTCTGCCTTTGAAGGGCAGCCCTTTAGCAGTGGTGAGGTGGGGCCACTCTCTCCTATCCAGCAGCCTTGCAAGAGATGGAGCTGAAGAAGGAGCCCTGTGATGGAGACGGACTAAGAGAAGGCAGCACCTGTTCAAGGTGGAGGACCCTCTTGGAGCGGAGTTGGATCCTGCAGCTCCGACCAGTTCAGCTTTACCCAGAGGAAGCTTCAAGGGAGGGAGGAACAGCAGATTTTGAGCAGTCTGGCACCCCCAGCTGCTGCAAGAGCTGGGGATCACCCTCCAGCACCAAGGGCAGACCTCTGCCAGGGTGGGCAGCTGCTGGCCAGCACATGTCCACCTCAGCACGGGCACTCACCGCACGGGACATGGCAGTCGCACTCGCAGATGTCACAGCGCTGGAACCAGCGGGCCCAGCCAGACTGCTTGGTGACGCAGGCTGAGATCTTGATGCAGCCGCGGTTGAGGAAGGCTCCCAGGTGAGCATGGCTGCTGCAGGATGAGGAGCACCTCCCAGTAATGTCCCGCTCGTTGATCTCAATCCGGCCTCGCAGGCAGATCCCTGGGGAAACGGGGCCAGAGAATGCCATCAAGAGCTGCCTGCAGCCACCCTCCTTGTAGTCTACCTGCAGCACCCCCTTCCCCCCCACCCCGCGATGCACTGGGGACTTGAGACCCATGTGCAACCCTCCTCCGTGTCCAAAGGGGCTGCAAATACCTCCCCGGGACTCCACAGGCACAGCATCCCCCTGGCTCAGAATGTGGTGCAGTGGTACTCACGGAGGCAGGTAGGCTTGGGAGTCCAGCGGCCATCAGACTGGCAGGCGCTGGCTGGGTCGCCCAGGAGCAGGAAGCCGGGCCGGCAGCTGTAGCGCACCACGGAGCCGACCCACCAGTCGTTGCCGTACACCACGGAGTTGAAGTCTGCTTCAGGCCGCCCGCAGTTCACTGCGGAGAGGCAAGTTCCCGTGGAAAGAAGTGCCTCACATTGGCAAGGCAGCACAGCATGGCAGCGATGCTCTCCTGGCACCATTCTCCAGGGGTCCAGAGCGAGGAGCCTGGCTGCCAGGCAGGTGCCATGGGGTCCCTTTGCCACTGTCAAAGACCCCTTACAGCCCAGGCAGCAGCAAGCTCCTAAAGAGGTGCCACATACACGCATGGTGCAAAACCTGCCCTGCTCGGCAGGCTGTGACAAGCCCCGCAGCCCTCCCGGGTCCCCTCCTGCCTCCCGCCAGCCCTACCTCGGCAGAATGACTTGTAGCCCAGCCAGCAGCAGCTGCCGTTCCCACACTGACTCCTCTTCAGCTCCTTGTGCTTCCCCTTGCAGCCCCCCAGGCAGATGGGCGCCGTGCCAGACCAGTAGGTATCCAGAACTCCTGGTGCTGCAGGGAGCAAGGCAAAAAGGGGCTGAGAAGGCTCTGCTCCTCTCGCCTGGGGACACCAGGGGCTGAGCACCCCCAGTCCCCCAGAACCTAGCCAATCAGCAGCTCGAGCCCAGCTCCTACGAGCCCCTCCTGCACCCCATTACCTTCCTCCTCAGAGGAGACCAGCAAAGCCAGCAAGGCAAGGAACAGGATGCTCAGCCCCATAGCACATGCACCGCCCTCCTCTCTGCCCCACAGCTCATCCCAGGATGCCGCCCCTTGGCTTGCCCATCTCCCGGAGACCCAGGAGTGCTACCCGGCCTGCCCAGGGCAAAACCAACTCGGTTTCCATGCACTCGGGATGGGAGACGCCTTAGGGCATGGGGGAAGGGAGGAGACGTTCCCCTTAATCCGAATCCTCTCTCCATCAGATAATCCCTGGCAGATTACCCTTCCCAGAGCCAGTGTTTAAAGGGACAACTCCTGCCAGCCATCCCAGCCTCTTCCCCATTCCCAGCACCTAGCACTCAGGTAGGACCAGAGCACTGCAGCCAGAGGCGCGCCAGGGACAGAGCAGGCACTGCCACGGCTTGGCAGCAGAGCCCCAAGGCCCGTGCATTGGAGAGGGAGCCAAGATGGGAGTGCTGCGAAAGCTTGTCTGGCTGGAGTCCCTTCTCTCGAGGGTATTCTTGGCCCAGCCGTGCCAAGTGCCAGCGAGAAAGCATCCAAGAGGAGGGCAGAAGGCTGAGCAAGGCTGGCTGCATCCTGTGCTGGCAGCCCAGGCTCACTGCATCCTCCTGCTTGCTGCTCCTTGCCCCTGCTGGAGCTGAAGGAGCTGCTCTTGTGCCCCCCACCCCAAGGGCACAGCCACAAGTCACACCCACAGCAGTTGTAATTAGAAAGTGAGCAGATGGCCAGGGGTTTAGCATGAAGCGATTTTCTCCACTAACCTGGCGTCCCAGCAGCTTTTGCTGCACTGCTTGAGAAAGGAAGAGAAGGAAAAAGTCAGCGCCAGGCCCAAGGACAGTGAGGGGCACTGGGGTTGCCTGTCTGCCTCCATCTGGCGTCACCACTTCCGCACCAAGGGCAGCAAAGGCCACAGTCACCCTGCTCACACCCGGGACACCGACTTCATGCTGTCCAAACCACTGCCCAAAGGATGAGCTGCCTCTCTACCCACAAGCCCAGGCTTCTCTTTAGATCCGAAACATGACACAGCAGGCGGCACAGATTCACACTCTGCAGGAGGCAGCAAAATCAAATGCACACCAGGGAGCAGGCGTGCCTGAGCCAAGCCTGGCCTTCCAGTGCCATCCCTGGGGATATGGGACAACACACTCTCCAAGGCAGAAGCCAGTTGCACCACGTGGCACCACGCAGGATAGCAGAAAGCTCGTGGCAGCTCCACGGTGTCCCTCCCTCACCCTGCAGCTCCTGTGCAGTTTGAACTCATGCTCACCACATGTCCTGGCTGCAGGGATGGGGCTGAGACAGACACCACTCACCAGTTGGTCCAGCAGTCTGGCTTTTATTTGTCGCTCCCAAGTACAAGTTACTTGTTCAGTATCCCAAGCCCCAATGTGGGGAGGAAACCCAGGGAAGAACAAAGCACTGGGAAGCCCCCAAACCCCATGTAAGTGACAGCACCTCCAGCCCTCTCCTCCCACACAGATGAGTGCAGTGCTAAGGGTATCGGCAGTGCAGGCACTAACACGACAGACATCCTGAATGGAAGTGCCAACGAAGGCAGAAGCCGGGCACCCCATCCTGTGGCGAACAAAGTATGGGGGAGAACAGGCCTGAGGGCCACCCACCTCACCTGCTGCATCCACACTTCCCTGCCTGGGGAGATCCTCACTGAGGACCCGACAACTTGACTGCATGGCAGCAGGGACCACATTGCCAGCAAGTAAACAGGCAGAAAAGGCCCAGGCCAGACAAAGACAGAACCTCCTGAAGAAGCAGGAGAGGCTTGCCTTTAATCCTCAAATCCTTGGCTCTCTTTCCAGCTCCAGTCTGTTGTCTGACAGACAGCACCAGCCCTTCCCACCTCTCCACACTGACCAGAACCAGGAGCCACCAAGACTGGAACAACTGAGAGAGAAGCTAGCCAGCCCCATGCGGGAGGAGACCTGCCCTCTCCCCCAGCACATCCCACAGCAGCCCGTTTTCCATGTGCAGGGAGGCACGTGAGCTCCTCACACAATCTGGATGCCCAACTCCTCAGCTGTCTTCTGCAGGCGATCCATGACATTCTCCTCCAGCTCCACGGCCGGCCCGCCAGGCAATGCTGCCCGCTCCTCAGAGGATGCGCCAGCCATGACATAATACACAGTCTCACTCTCCCCGTGCTCGTTGGTCCGGTTCACTACACGGATGATGGGATTGGCTGGGGCACTGGGTTCTTGCTCCAAGGACAGTGCTGCTCCTGGGAAGGCACTTGGCCCTGTTGGCTCAGGGTTGCCAGCCGAGTAAGCTGCAGGTTGCCACGAGGCTGCTTGTGGCTCAGCGTTGCTGCTCCCCACCGGCGGAGCCCCTGCTGGGGCCTCCAGAACGACGGCCTGAAGGTTGCCTTCACCCTCAGAGAGCACCACGCACTCAGCTGAATTTTCCAGGGCCTCTGCCTGCTTCTCACGGTCCTTCAGCAGCTGCTCCGTCAGCTCCACGCTCTCGTAGCGCACCAGTTGCAGCCTCATGTAGCCGTCTTCATGTTCCTTGTACCTGAGCAGAGACAGGCAGGGTGACGGACCAAGTCACACTGCAGTCCCTTCCCCAGAGAAGTTCCCAAATGCAGCTGCTGCAATGGCACTACTGTCCATGTCCCCGATCTGACCCACTGCAGGAACTCCCACTCAGCACTACTCCATGGATCAGGGTCTGAACCTACTGAACAGGTGCTGCCAAGTGTTTCCCTGCCCCAGAAAATGGGTCCCAATAACATCGCAGGCAAACACCAGACCCCATTGCTGCCAGATCTCTGCTGGCTTCAGTAAAAAGCAGGAAGCAGCAGCAGCTGCTTGCACAAGAGAGGAGGTAGTGAGGAGCTGAGGGCGGGCAATACCTGAAGCGAGGATGCCCTGAGGGCCATTTGAATTGATGTTTCTTCCTGAGGTGCACAGTGAGATTATTCCCACGCGTGAAGCACTTGTCGCAGACATGGCACTTATACCGGGGCTCCGAGTCACCCTGGAGAGCAGAGAGCGCAACATGAGTGCCCTGCAAGCCTCATCAGAGCACCTGGCATCCACCTGCACGTGCAGAGGGAGGAAAATGGTTCTCTGGGAAGACTGACATAACATATCACTGCAGCAGGAAGAGAGGAAAGCAACCTGGCCTCACACTGCTATAGCCCCAGCTTAGGGCACTTCACAAGGCTTCAGCTTTTTTCCTCATGCTTCTGTACAGCACGTCACAGCTAGTGTTTCTCAGCTTTATTGGGAACAAATGCACCCCTCTGCTCCCTTCCCACCTCATGGACTTTCCGGTAGTGCAGTTTGATGGAGCAGAGGGAACGTGCGGTGAAGCTGCAGGCCTCGAACTCACAGCGATAAGCTGGCTCTTTGCTGTGCGTGTCCAGATGTTTCCTCAAATCAATGAGATTCTTGCAACTAAAAGGAAACAAAAAGGCAACAAAGCTGATAATTGTGTGTCCTGTAGACACAAACAGGCCTCTGGGCCCTTCTCTGCCACGAGTCAGGAATGCAGCAAGCCCTGGTCCTCACCTGTACTCACAGTAGTCGCACTTGAACGGCCGCTCCTCGCTGTGCCGGAAACGAATGTGATTGCGCAGGGAGGAGGGCAACGGGCAGGTCATGTCGCACAGAGGGCACTTGTAATGGTTCACTGCTCAGGGGAAGCAACGGGGAAACGTCACTGTGGAGCAGGGCAGAACACACACAGCCTCTGCTGCAGGAAGGAGCCTTCACTCACCATGGTTCCTCATGTGGTCACGGAGCAGCCTCTCTGTGGCAAACCTCTTGGAGCAGTGAGAACACTGAAACCTCTGCTCTGCAGCATCGAGCGAGAAGAGGGCAGGGTCAGCGAGAAGCAAGAACAACAACACAAAGAGCAACAAATGGAACTCGGAGTGGAGCTAGGAACGCTTCCCTCCTATTAGAGGCAGCAGACACTAACTGCAAAGCCAAAACATAAAACCACCTTTGAGGACCAATCTATCCTCTGTGCTGCAAGCACAGCACGCTTACCTTGCGCAGAGCGCAAGAGAACCCAGCAAGACTGCTTACCACCCACCCCTCGCCATGCCCACAGGAGCTTACGGTCCAGCGCAGTCTGCCGGCGGATGTGGTCAAAGAACTTGGTATTGTTGGCAAACATCCCCCCGCACGTGGGACAGGCCACCACCTTCTCCTGCGTGTGGCTGCGCAGGTGCTCCCGCAGCTTGCAGCGCCCCTTGAAGGCGCAGTCGCAGTCTGCACACAAGCAACAAGGCCACTGTTAAGATCGTTCCTAAGGGATGCAGCAAAGCAACTCACTCCAACAGGCAGAGGGGAGTCTTGTAGCCCACAGCCTGACTGAGGCTACTTGTTTGGCCACACAAGGATCGGCTCTGCTCCAAAAAAAGCCCTTGCAGCACAGATGCAGCACCATGAGGCCACCAGGCTAAAACTTGCACAGGTCCCCTCATCCCCCAGGCAGCTAAGACAAACACAAAGCTGCTGTGCACAGAGAAGGGAGCAATTATTCTAGTAAGTAGGTCACAGCCTTTTCTCCTAGGTACAAATTAACTAGGAATGGGAAGTTTAATACAAAATAATCCACTGGAGCTCCTGAAGGAAGTTCTACAGGAGTATTTCACTGTCAGAACCACACACATGCTCTTGAACTCAGAGATGCTCTCCGAGACCCTGGCCAGGCAAGGAAGGCAGAGCTTTTCTGGACGATCTTTGCAGCCCAGCCCTGTGCAGAGGTCTCCAGAGAAGTCTTGTCTGCTTCCACTGACCTCTCCAGCCACACAGGACCACGTGGTTCTCCTTTCCTGCTGCCTTGTACTCGGAACAGAAACTGTGGTCTTCCACATGCCGGTAGAACCACTCAGGATTATCGAATGACCTCTGTGGGGACATAGGGAACAGGGTGAAGCATGAACATGAATAGAGGAGATGTTGTCCTGCAGACACAAGCACAGCAAGCAGAAGGCAGCTCTCCTCGCCTTGGTTTCCATGCCACAGACAACGCTTGGGAAGCGGAGCTGGTTCCCAGGCTCTCACCTCACAGTACTCCCATAGACACAGGAAGTTCTCCTGGATCTCGGGGATGATGTTGCGGCTCTGGAAATCCAGCTGGCAATGGCTCACGTCTGACTGGCTCTGCAAGGCCCGGAGCCCCCACTGCTTCAGCTTGGTGTGGTAGCAGTGGAAATAGACGTGGCGGACAAGGTCGGCTGGGCTCTCCGGCGAGCAGAAGCCACATTCCTGCCACAGGCACGTGTATTCCTCTGCAGCCAAAACAGGAAACACCCAGAGTGCTAGAGGATGAAGGCAAGGCTCCCAGATGAAGCTCAGAGCCCTGGAGGCTGAGAAACCTACACACGTTTCTCCATCAGCCTCTCACAGTGCAACAGTTTCCCGACGGAAAGGCCCATTTTCCCACACGGACGTGCTCGCAGAGGAACGCGGGTGCTCGAGGCGCTCCTTACCGAGCGGGTCCGCGTCGCTGCGGGCCTCGCCGGGCAGGTGCTGCCGCAGGTGCAGCGCCACATGCTCGCAGAACTCCTCCATGCGCGAGGCCACGAAGGCGCAGAGCCCCCACTCGCAC